TTAAAAAATTTCTTCTTCTTCTTCTTCTTCTTTTTCTTCTCTGTACAAAAAAAAAGGAAAAATTTTTTTAAATCTCTCTTTCGCACACCCATTCACTCAACGTTCTTCCTCCACACTCCTGATCTTGAAGGTAAGTAAGCTTGAGACTTATTCTTTTAGTATTGGGACAAAAGATATCGGAAGGTCCATGTGCACATTGCACACATTTAAGACCCCTTGGTGGTTGACAATCGCAGAAGAATATGCTGTTAGGTTGTCACCTGGTCAAAATTCAGAATGATGTACAGTAAAAAAAGACAGGACAGACAAGGTAGACAGACAGGATAGAAGTGTCTCAGTAGTCAGACAGAGACAAGCGATTAAAAACTTTTCCTTCACGTATGGCATTAAACTCTCTCAGAGCATTACCACGACTCGGCAACTACAACCATAACGTTCTCCACCTCTGTTTAGTCCCCCAAAAGATCCTCCAGTTTTAGGGCGGTTTTACTTTGACTTTCAGTCTCCTTTGCATCAATTCCTTCTCCATTATCTTTCTTTTCATCATTTCTTTCTCTGTTAACTTACCTTTTCATCAATTCTATCTTAGTTGAATAATCTTTTCAGCAGTTTTTTTCTCTTATAACTTAACTTTTTATCAGTTCTTTCTCTGCTAACTTAAATAGTAATAAATGTAATAGATTTCACTTAACACATTTCCACTAAGAAAGTGCTCAAGGTACTTTACAGCAATTTTTTCTCGGCTTAACTTTTCATAAATTCTTCCTCTGTCAACTGAACTCTGGTGTAATAATACATAAGAAACTGACCATAATTACCCCCCAAGACTAGAAAAACCTACGCTACTTGGGGAAAAAAAGAGATAGCGAAAAGTGCTCTTTTTATCACAACAGACATTTATTTGACAGCAATAGTGTTCGATGAAGCATAGCTTTTGTCATGTACAAAATACATGGTTGCATCATTTTTCATTGACATGCAGTATAACAAACATAATATATTATGATTACAAAGTGAAAATACTTATGCATTCCACATGGTGAACATAAACATCATACAAAGGCTGATAACTTTGGCAGGCTAAAGTGAAAGATGATTTAGACAGAAGAAAGGCAACTTCCAAGACACAAACAAAAATAAGACACAAATTATGACCAATAAGTTTGCTACTGACATCAGAAAATCAGAGAGTTCAGCTATAGTAAAATGCAAGTGTAGATTGTGCTTCATATTGTTCAGAGCCAGCTTTTGTGCATTGGTTAAGTACAGCTGCATTGATCATGATAAATAAAACTTTGCGTACTGCATAAGCACAATTGTATAGTACAGATAAAATAGAAAGAGCAGGAGCATTCCACAAAACTTTACAATACAAATATAATATTTCAACATTATACACTTTTATTGCTCATTTCTAATCATGTACTGAATGCACAGAAGTGAGAATGGTGGCAACGAGCATACATATATACATAGTCATCTAGCTTTTAAAAAACCTTCAACAAAAGCACTACAATATCAAGAGTGCTTATCGACAACCATATTGAGAACATACCAAAAACAAAAAGAAAAACTTGGAAGAACTTAAGCTCAACGGTCATGACGGTTAACTACAAAACAAACAGAAAAAGTGTATAATCCTCAAAACAGTAAACACTTCACAAGGGCATGATCTGAACTGGCCAATAATCTCATGATTATCTAATATGCACACAGAGATCTTATAAAGCTTTTCATTCCACTACACTCCTTAGATTACAAATTGAAGTCGTCATATAAATTTGTATTGTTACGAATTTTAAAATGCTCAAAAGATTCTCCTGAACTATTTCAAAGACAATCATATATAAGGATACCGGTACTTCAATAAGGCACACACATATCATTGAGTGTCCGCTAGAACTCTGAAGGTAACTTAAAGCTCTGGAACACCTCTCAAATACAGTATTCCCTTTCCCTTTCCAAAAAGACTAAGTGGAGATTCATAGAAACTCTAAAAACAACTCAAAAAAAGATTTGAATGATAACACTCAGAACCAAAGTCCATTATCTTATCAGTCAACCTAAAAATTAGTCAGTTATTTGATGCATCTGTGTTCTTCAGAAAACTCAACAAGAGCACAAATTGGGCATAATTCAAAATTCCTACCAAACTGAAAAAGTTTAAAGTGGCCCTCACCCTCATATGACCTTATGCAGTTGCTAGTGCTGTAAAACACTTACCAGAACAATACAAATAAAACAAGGTAAATCTACAACATACATTCACATTCTTACTTAAACCATCACCTTATCAAAACATACTGCTGACCGTCTGATAAAATTGTAAAGTGTCAAAATAAAGGACAAGCTGATTAATAAAATTTGGTAAGGACATAAGCATACCCTTCAGGATAAAAAATAAATGAAAGAAAAGAAAAATCTTGAGTTTCTTAATAACAAAATGTTCCAACAAATGCAAATGGACAGGCAAAAAAACAATCACCTGACAAAAACATTAGACAACCAATAATCATGAAGTAGCCTATATATTATATAAATCATTGCCTCACTACCAAAGCAGTTTGCAGGCAGTGATCCGGTAGCAGTGGTGATTTTACTTTCAGCACGCTGATTAAAATCTCAGGTGTGCCCTGTTTATGAGTGAAACATGAACTATTTATTTACCTGACCTGGCTCAGGCAGTATACAAAGGCATGTGGTGGAGATCTCATATATTTAACTAAGAACAAGCCTGACGTTTAACAACAAAAAGTCTCATTGTCGTTTGAAGATGGTATTGTTGGCTACATCTAAGCTTAAACTCATTCAGGGGAACATGATAGCATAAGAGGATACAAAAAAAAGATGGGTCTCTGAAAATCAGAATAAGCGTAAGAGAGAGCACTTACTTCAGATTGTTCAAATATTAACATCTTTTAAGTCACAACGAGCAGGTACATAAAAAACACAAACAAGTAAGTATTATGAACCAGCTATTTTTGCCTGTACAACAAAAGTATACAAGTTCAAGCTTTAAGATCATTATCTCACTCTGTAGCTAACAATACAGTATATATAATTATACATATACCTTGTGACTTCAGCTGATTGGAAGAGTTGGGAGGAAGCGCGCGTGCGAGCAAGAGAGAGAGAGAGAGAGAG